TTCTGTTGATATAAATTAAGCACTTATTACACTGTGGTGGGTGTTCACACACATTGTTTCTTTCCATGCCTACCACACCATACTGTAAAACTATGTGTGTAACCCCGTTCACATGACCATTTCCAATCTGCAGCACTTTATTGACAGGTTCGGAGGTCTGTTTGGGTTCCAAATATATGGCACAGGAGTAGATCCAGGAACAATAATATATGTAGGTCTTGAAACTGAGACAGTGGCAACTCAAACTCATCAGGTTTTCCATTCCTTTTATGAGGAGATGAGTGTTGAGGATAAAATTTCCCATAATGTTAAGAACCTATTTATTGATTTGGCTGAGAGTATTGCAGGTAGTCTTAATGTAACTAATTGCTATGTATGTGGAGGTACTAACATGGGAGACCAGTGGCCATGGAAAGCAAAGGAGGCATGGTACCCTGGTTCTGAGACAGATGAACAACAGATACTTTCTCAGTCTGATCATCAAGTGAGTACTAGAGGTAAATCGGAATGGCGGTTAAAAACCTCCATTATAGGTCATGTTTGTATAGCCAGGAAAGGGACAATGTATAACACGTCTGTAGGTGAACTTGCTTGGGACAAAAAGCCTATAATGTTAATACTAAAAATACTACTTGGTGGTCAGCTTCAAATGTCTCGGAACCTACTAATCCATTTTCCAATTACACTAATTTGAAAGAGGTATGGTTTGATTTATCTGCTACATCCAATTGGAGAACCCCAGGAAAATTGTACTGGATTTGTGGTAAGAAGGCATATTCGGAGTTACCACAAGACTGGGAAGGGGCATGTGTACTAGGTATGCTCAAACTATCCTTCTTCTTGTTGCCAATTGAAACAGGAGAGACCTTGGAGTTAAGGTTTATGATGTGAATCATAAAAAGAAGCGAGCATCTTTGAATATAGGTAGCTGGGAAGATGATGAGTGGCCTCCCCAACGCATTATTAATTATTATGGACCGGCTACTTGGGCAGATGATGGCACTTATGGATATAGAACCCCAATATATATGCTTAATCGTATTATAAGACTACAGGCGGTGGTTGAGATTATCACCAATGAGACAGCACAGGCACTCAATCTCCTAGCTAAACATAATACGCGAATGAGATCAGCCATCTATCAAAATAGATTAGCTCTGGACTATTTATTAGCAGTAGAGAGAGTTGTATGCGGGAAGTTTAATCTAAGTAACTGTTGTCTGCACAAAGATGATGAAGGGCAGGCAGTGGCTGAACTTACCAGTCACATGGTTAAACTTGCGCATGTACCTACTCAGGTCTGGAGTGGGTATAACCCAAGTAGTTGGTTTGGAAGTTGGTATGAGCAGCTTGGAGGGATTAAGGCATTAGTACGAGGAGTAGTATTTATTATATTCATGTGTTTCTCTCTGCCCTGCTTAATTCCATTAGTGGTCAGGTCCATACGAAGTGTTGTAGGCAGCACTATTGAGAGGAAGACAGCTGCCCATGTAATGGCTGTCTGTAAATATGAACCTTTAGCCCAGAGAGAGCATATTCAGGATGGAGAATGCTAAAAGAATATGCTAGGGATGCTTACGAGGTCTGTTCTGGCTCATGGCTACTTGAGAGGTGTTGGCAAACTATGATTGGTGATGCATCTGGATTTATTTTAAATCAGAAGCATCAAAGGGGGGAATGTGATGGAATTCCAGTAAAATAAAAGTTTAGCAGGCCAAGATTGCCACAAGGCATATCTAGGTACATGTGTTTGTAGTATAAGTTAGTTAGTTACACGTAGCTAAGATACTGTCATCAATGTACTGAGCATGTGCAGGAATGCAGGAACTGGAATTACGCGTCCCTCTCCTTTGTTTCAGATGAGTCACGTGGTTAGACCGGATGGATGAGTTTAGACTCTGTTCATTGATTAGGTTAAGGGTATGTGTGGGCGTATCTTATTATGGGAGGAGCTACAGTGCTATATAAGGAATGTACTCTATGTATTCAGTGCTGAGAATTTTGGAACAGGAGTTCATCTGAGACCCGATCGGTAATGTGAATAAAGGCCTCTTACTTCCTGAATACCTGTGTCCATCTCTTACACGGTTACATAACTAAGTCCATAAAACAGGGGTTTTCTTCACACTCTGCATCCAAAGTGCATAGCAAAACTGCAGATCCTTTGTCAGAGCATTTAAAGGGCCAGAACCAGTCTAATAAAATCCACTATGCCCAAATAACGTATTTAAAGGGCAAAATCTTCCAGGGGCAATAGTCATACGGCAAGAGGCTGGTAATTAGTCCTCTCCAGGCACAAGTGGTGAAGGGCACTTCGTCACACACACCTAAAGATAATTACAGCACTTAGAAACCAAATAAAAACACCAACTGTGTTTTCTGACTTTGAAACCTGACAAATGCAGCAGGGATGTCTGACTATTTGGGGCACCAGATGGAGTGCAGGCAACAGTGGCTTGAGCCGGCTAAAACAGAGGCAGTCATTAACTGTCCCATACCCTGAACTCAAACTCAGGTCTTGGCCTTCTCGGGAACAGCCTGGTATTACCGGAGGTTTGTAAGCCCCTTACTGACCTATCCAAGAACAATCTGCCCTGAGTTTGAGGAAATATTCCACAAACTTGTAAGTGCCTTAACACAAGCTGCTGTAATAGCTGCTCTTGACATATCGAAATGTTTTGTTGTCCATGCAAATGCCTCTATGTTCAGGTTGGGAGCAGTTCTAAGCCAGGTGGGAGAACATCCCTTAATCTACCTCAGCAGGAAGCTGTTACCCCGGGAGGTGAAATACACTGCCATTGAAAAAGATTGTTTAGCTTTAGTGAGGACACTGAAAAAGCTGCAGCTGTACTTATATAGGCATTCTTTCACAATAATCACTGACTACAACACCCTGGTGTGACTCAGCCAGATGTCTAGGGATAATGCAAGATTATTCAACTTTACCATTCAGTGCCAGCCAGGAAAACAGAATAGTAATGCCAATGGATTGTACCGGCAAACTGAGTTGGAGGGTTAGCATCTTTCCCCAGACCGACCTGTTAGGATGTGGCAAGGCTTGTCGAACCATGGAAAGGGGGTGGGAAGTATTGTGACAACATTGGGGGGTTACTGTTGTGGCGGCCACTTGGGTAGGGACACGAGTCTCGCCGCCAAGGATGTTCTTTCCCCCTCGCCTTTATTATAGCAGAGTAGTGTGATATAGCTTTCCCCCCCAGACATTAGCCACGACTTAATGCTGGGAGTAGACTGGTTTATTCAGGGCAATGTACACTCAATTTATACACAGACCCCCAGGCGTCTCTGTGTCTAGTAGATAATAGAGTCAAAGACCGGTAACTCCATTATCTCTCAGTTACAGAGACCCACAGGCACGGACTGGCCATCGGGCTATCTGAACGCCGGCCCCGCTGTGTTCCATGAAGGGCCGGTGGGGAGATCAAGATCTCTCTCACCGGCCCACATGCTGTCAAACGCGGCCGCAAGCGGGGAGAGATGGAGGGAGACAGCCACCCAGGAGAGGAGGATCGGGCGGAGCTCTAACTTGAAGCTCTGCAGGGTTTCTCTCGCGAGATCCGGACCATTGCTGTGGCTAGAGTTCACTTACCACAGCTTGCGCTGTGCAGAACAAATACAGGGCCTTTTTCTCATGCCCTGGAAGAGCATTGAACCAACATGCTCACTTTGAGATGGGGCGTGCTTGTTATTAGCCCCCCCCCCCCTTTTTAGTGGGCCTCTGTGAATAAAAAATGCTCAAGACAAATTTTTTCCCCAGTCCGGCCCTGGGAAACCACACAGAAGATACCCCAAAAACACATCTTATATCCCCTGGTAGCCTGGATCTGAGCACCCAAGTTGTCCTGAGGTTTTTCCCGGTTCCAGCTAGGAAGTGATCCTTGGTGGAAGTACCCAGCCGGGGTACAGGGAGCTCCGCTACACTCTTCCCCAATAAAGTCAGTTGTGTTTCACCCTACTCGTCATGTTTGGATGAAAGCGGTGATATCAAGCTATTGCTACTTAGGAGAGATGGAGTGTCTTCGGAGGAGTAAGAGAAATGTGGTAGGATTCAAATCCCTCCGATACCCTTAAAGAAATTGGGAGCTGGTGAAGATATTCTTTGGGAGTACTCCATCACAATGATAGAAACAGAAATTGGAATTGTTGTTGGAAATGAAATGTGAGATCCGTGACTTTGTGTTTGTTTTGGTAAACAGGAGAATACATATTTGAAAAAAATGTTAGAAACATAGGATGTGACGGCAGATAAGAACCATTCGGACCACCTAGTCTGCCCAATTTTCTAAATAATTTTATTAGTCCCTGGCCTTCTCTTATAGCTAGGATAGCCTTATTGATAATTTCTATATTTGGGTGAGTATGGGAGGATATGTATTATGATACAGATACACTAGATGATGTGGTAATATATGGAAATAGAGTGTACATGCTCTGTACATGTAGTGTGTAAATGGGTGTGGAGCACTTGTAAGCATGTACTTATTCATGGACTGTACATGATGGGAGAGTGGATAGGAATCAGAGGTTTAGGTAAATGCACAGTATGATCCCACACACAGAGCAGTCACTATACACACCTGTTGACCATCCGCACACGACAATCAATGTGCTCACACCACCTGTCCAACACCCACGAAGGGCAATCAACGTACTCACACCAAATATCTGCCACCCATGCAGGGTGAACATAGTACTCATACCCCCTGTCTACCGCTCACACTGGGCAATCATCATATTCACACCATGTATTCACCACTCATACAGGGCAATCAACATGCCCACACCACGGTGACTACTACTCCCACATACACTGATCAACAATGAAAATAGTGACCATGAACCTAATTGGCTCATCACTACTTACACATGAAAATCACAGACCTGTTTAACCACCACCAACAAGGGCTTATAACTACCTACACAGAACAATCAATGCACACACATCAGTCTATCGATATAAACATTTAATAGAAACATCTTACCCATCAGTATAAAAGTGCCACTGTCCTTAACAAGGACTTGTTCTTCAAGTTTCCGAAATCTACCACTTGGAGGTCTATGGGAGCGGTCTAAAATGGATTCTTGGGACCTCACCAAAAAGAAAAATTTGCCCAGATGGAATTCTCTCTCTTTCCAAAATGTTTGTAGGATCTTCAGTTTCTGTAATAAGGTCAACTCTGCTTCAGCTCTGATTTTGACCTGAGAGAGTAGAATAAAAGTTGTATGAGATAAAATAATGTTTGATATTTTTCATAGCAGATATATTGCATTATTGTATTGTGACATAATGTGGATGACTACCAGCCACCAAGCATAAGGGTGCTATCTCTTGGCTACAAGGAGGTTCCCCTAGAACACTGCTGTGGGCCACCACTGTCCCAACAGCCTGGGCACTGCTAAACTGGCCCAACCCCAAAACTTGGATAACTCTCTATTACACAAGAGTTACTTCTCACTGCCCAAATAGCTTTAACCCTTATAGGCCCTGGAGCAGGTAAGACTTGCAAGGCATATCTTAAAAGGAGGACACCATATGCCTGTCTGTAAGGCGTGTGGGAGCTGGAGCCATACTTCCTAGGTGAACAATATTGAGGGGAACCAGCCTATACAATAGAGTAATATATACTGTATATGTAAAGAAATAGCAGATAGGATGAACAAACTTGCCCATCCAGTGTTTGTCATCACATGTATATTCTAACTCCCACTCTAGTCCTGTTCACTGTGGAAGCATGGCTCCTGCCCTTTCTGTGCCCAACACACAGGTATATGATGTCTATCTTTGAAAATGCTGCCCGTACAGTTTGCCCAGGACCTTGATAACAAGTCCTTTCTCCCCACCTGGAAGACCAAATAATGTATTGAGATGGGGCATGTGCACATGTAACTTCCTGAAAGCTGTGGGCCATGCTGTATGACATCCAAGGACCCTTGCTCTGGATATCAAAACCCCAATGGATTATGTTATTTGGACAGGTCTGCAACCTGTCAGAGTATTTATATCGGCAGACATCTTGTGCTATGATAGAAATTAAAAGTGTATATTCTGAGTCACTCTGAACAGACCAGACTCCATTTTGTTATTTTCAAGTTAACAAAGAGACACGAAATTTCTATCCTTTCTGTAAAACTAACCACTTTCCCAGAGCTAAAGGAATGCATAGTATATACAAACCAAGTGATAAGGAGAACAGGGGTTGGACAGACTGTCTAAATGCTAATGGGATAGATCAATTCTAAACCCAGACATTGGTTAAATAATAAAATTTTACTTTCTATATGTACAAGATCCCATTGTAAGGAAAGGTAGACGAGGAAAGAGGGGTATGCAAAGAAAGCAAAGAAGTGAGCAGTCGGAAGCAATGCAGAGAGGCCTATGACAGATATCCACTCTAGGACACTCAGAGAGACATCCAAACAAGTTTCTGAGACTATCTACCAATCGGATGAAATATCTACTCAACTGGTAATTATACTGGTTTCATTTAATTAATTAAATTAATTAAAATGTACTAATAGCATGATATATAGCAAGAAAAACAAGAAGTGTAACGGTTAATTCCATGTTGATTCACTCTGTGTAAGCGGGACGATTGTTAGGTGCCCTCGAAGGCACAGAGGTAACTTTTGCTACAGCAGCAACATACATCTAGCGGTATATCTGCTCTTTACAGTGTATCTTGATATTCTGATTTTTCAAATATAGTCGGACCAGTTATAGCTGTTTATAAAGATCTATTATGAAACATTTGATTTTCTTTCATTTCAAGCTTCAGCTACAATGTTGCTAATACACTCGCTGTGACCTTTACTATCCTTCCGCTTGTATGCGGAGCTGTGCTCTCTCTGTCCTGCATTTATACATTGCTACCAAAATTCTTTTGATTATCAAGTTCTCACTAATCATTTTATAATACTGGTTACAAACCCTCAGCACTTGGTATAGCTGCATTAATTGCTGATACTCATTATTATTTTTTCCGATTTCTGTTATACCTACCAAGTGGCCTAGTGATTGTTTGCCAGTCCTGCTATATAGAGATAAAACTACTGGCAGATACTTTTTTATCTTTTTAGATTTGCACACTTATTTTTGGGTATTAACTGTAGCACTTATCTTTAGCTTTCACTTATGTACACTAGCACATTTTGGTTTTAATATTATTCAATAAAATTTGTTTATTATTTTTTTCCTTGGATTACATATCAGTGGTATACTTTGTCTAATAGTATATCCTTTCAGCATATCTGTCTTAGACTGCTATACTCATTTTTGAACTTATTTTGTTCTTGAGTAAACACTCATCATATGCAGGTACACTTCTTGTTTTTCTTGCTATGTTACATTTGGGGTTACCCCCCGTTCTCTAAAGTGTACCTTCTATTTGGCTCTATCTCTGCTTCCTTTGGCTTAATAGCATGATATATGACTGGATAAATCACGGTCAGATTTCCATATTAAGAAATCTTAGTTAACTAAAGAATATATAGTTTTAAACATTCCATTCTGCAGGTGGAATTAAGAATAATTATATATTGATGTGATAGTATCATGTGTTAGCATACCGCTGTTTTTATCCAGGTGTACTGATTTGCTCTAATATAAGATAAGATATCTTTTAGACAAATTAAATTCTGCTTATATAATATGGTAGATTCTCTTATTGGATGGTTCCAGGAAATGACTAATGAACTGGTTTAAATGTTATTTTATTTAAAATTACATAAGAATAGATCTTAATTACCTAGGAGGTCTAGGCAGCATTGAAAGGGTTATTCTAACTGTTAGCCAGGGTTTTATGGCCCTTCGCTGTGAAAAGCTTCACTTTCAGTCTGTAAGGATACCTCATAAATCGTGTAAGTCTTGACAGAAAATGCTGTTTAGCCATTGAAACGCGTATACCTATTCCATTGTATTGCATACCATTTTATACCGGATCTATTTTTATAAAATTGTGATTTTATTTATATGAAATACTTTTCACTTATGATAACGATCTTTGGGATCTGAGAATTGAATTAGTGGGCAATTCTCACTGTTTACTATTATTATCCCATAAATATCCCCACATATTGGAGGCACGCTGCTGAGATCGTTTAAGTTGAAATTATATTTCATATATAATAATATTGGTGTAATTCATGCAATTTAATCTTGATATAGAAAAGAGTTTTGTATTGAGATTAAATCAGTGGCTGAATCCAGCAATATATCTGTAACAGATAATACTGAAATAATTGAAGACCTAAGAAAAAATGCTCTAGTTCATATTCATAAACATATGAAAAATGATGCAACCTATGAGGTTTGGTTGAAAAGCATAGAATGGGAAGCTAAACACACCATTCTAACTGATGAACACATCATCATATACCTTAAAGAAATTGCTGAACAAAAGAACATAGAAAGGAAAATGGCGTACATAATACACTCTTGGCCTTTCTTTATGACAGCACTTCTTAAGGTGTGTGATGAAAACAAGTCACTGAATGCCAAATTGGACACGTACAGTGACGATCTGGGCATTCAAAATGGGAAATACCAAGATTTACTTGCTGAGCATAAAACTCGTCAGGCTGATCATGAAAAAGAAATGAAAGCTTTGACGGATAAATATGCACAGGAAATAAATCAGCTTAAAATGCAATTGGATGAGTATGAAAAGGAGAGTCAGAAATTAGACAGTGAGGTTAATAGTCATCATTCTGTGCCAAAAAGTTGCACAAAAATGCAAGAAAAGACTATCTGTAAATCCCCTCCTTATTATGATTTTCCCACACCAAACCAGGTTTTCATAAAACAGTCTTTAAGTAAAGATGTGAGTAATTCTAAAAAATCACCTGTGGAACAAGATTTCCTATCTCATGACATTACCAAACCATCTTGGCAATCTTGGGCAGAACAGTTTGAAAAGACTGTCTTGGCCAAACTTGAGAGGGAGAATCAGATTCAAGGTGATAGGAATGAAAACAGACATGGTTCTGTACACTGGCAGGATTCTGATGCTGATCGGAATTGTGACAGTGAACAAGAAGCTCAGAGTGATGGGAGTGAAAGTGATTGCACTGTCCACTCTGAAGGCCATGTAACTGATATGCCATCTGCACTGTTGTACGGGTCTAATTCCTCTTCAGCAGACAGATCGCATAGACGTTTACCCAAACACAGAAACAGAGGTCGTAAATCAACGATGCCTGTTTATGAAACACCAAAGGTCATCAAATTCCTTAGAGAGACTGTCCCACAATTTTGTAGAGGTTCAGGAAACATATCTGAACATCTGGAAAATTATGATAGAGCAATGAATTCATTGGGCATGTATGATGACATTCATAAGAAATGGTTCATTACATGGACCTTTGATTCAATGTGTCGTGTTTATCTAGAAAGTCTTCAAGCTATACAGTTAATGTCCTGGTCCAAGATGAAATATGAAATAATCATGGAATACTGTAAGTATAAAACCATTGCTTCTGCAAAGAAGGCGCTTTATAACTTAAAGTGCCGTCCAGATCAAAGCCCCAGAGAATTTTTAATAATTCTTAAAAATGCATACTCCGTGGCCCAAAGAAAACCCAGACTTCAAAGATCTGTATTTTCATGCCATGCCGGTAAACATACAAATGAATCTCGCAAGAGATTATGATTGTAAGTTACCATTAGAATGGCTAGTCAGTCAGTGCATGAAATTGTATACTATACACCATGCACATGACGAAAATCAGCCAAAGGTTAAGAAACCTGGTGATAAAATGGTGTCAGAGACTAAAATTCAGTTAGGTTTAGAAACCCAACAGAAAAAGAGGACCTATTCCGAGGTTTTGAAATCTCCAAAACCTCAGAAACAGGAAAATGCCAGAAGCAATTCTGCAAATTCCTCTAATAACTCTGAAAAATCCAATGCCAATGGGAATAAACGCCCCTGGGTTAATAAGAACCAAGGCAATTCCCAATGGAGAAGGAATCCTCAGGGAAATAGGAGATATGGAAACAGAAATAACCAATCTGCTTCCAGTAACTCCCAACAGTCTCAGCCATCCCAGCCAAATTCTAATGGGCAAAGACAAAACGGCAATGGGGGAAATAATTTGCGTCGTCAGGTTGGTCAATTGACAGACCAGATGGGCAAATTAATGGAGGAAATGACAAAGATTAACCAAGTCTTTGCCAGAAATCCTTTTTTAGGGATAACTCCAAT